CCTCTGATAACACATACATACGCACTTATACATATATACTCTTTTCCTTCGCAGTGCTCATGGCATTCTAACTCTTATTCTATTTTTTTTCACACCGTTCGTCTTCATCCTTTAATCAAACATGGTCAACACATTAACAATATTACTAATTATTCTCGTAACTCATCTTGATCCAGCATGCTCGTCCAAGTATTATAAAATTGAAGTAAACAACAAATTGGATAGTCTAGTTGCAAGTCACGATGCACAGGTTGCTCAAACAAAAAAAGATCAAACCTCATTTAATCCTAACAGTTGGTCACACATTACAATTGTAGGTATTATTTTGTTTGCGGTTGGTACATGTATATGTGGATCCTGCTGTCTCTGTTCTTATTGTGGCTATAAACACTTTCGCCGATATCGTACACTCCGCGCCGCAAAAGACCATCAGACAATTGAATATTTGAACAAATCTGGATTATTATCTAATATCCTAGTTTTAAACTATCTACTGTCTACAGTTGAACAACGTACTCATCCACCACCGCCACCACCAACCATAACATCAAATGTTCAACAACAACCGCTATCGTCAGCAGACATTGGTAAATTAGTTTATTATATACAACAGAAACAACAAAACCGTTGGAATCTCTCGATGAATCTGTCCAAGCGACCGCTCTAATATTCCACAAAACTCAAAGTCTGACAACATTGCTCAAAACTATGGTTATTAATATGGCAATTAATAATTACAATAATTTTTTTTGGTTTTTTTTGACGAGCCAGGAGGCTCATCTTACACGCATGCGGGGAGTGTTATGACAGCTACACTATCATTCCTTTTTGTCATGAAAGAATGTTGACTCAAAATAGTTGAGTCAATATTCTTTGGTCTCTAGTGATACTATATATATATAGGATTGTTTAGTCAAGAGAGAGAGAGCTTTTTTGTTTCGGATCAAGATTTTCGGTTTTTATTGTTATTATCGGAATAAAACGAGTGGCTAGCAGCCACATCCTTGTCCTTCTCTTTGCCCATATATTTGAAAGCTCTGACCAAAATAAAAGCACTGTAACAGTTGTCTATACTAAAAGACAGTCATCTCTATAATCAGCTATTGCAAATGATGAATCAGAGCATTAGCATCTTCTAGGATCGGATTTTATTGGTCAAAGTTATTTCAGTAGGAATAAGTGTATCCATGGATCCAATACGGATTAGCCCGTATGCGCTGCACATTGCACATCAGCATCGCGAACTGGCTATAAGGCAATGCCGCCGGGAGTCATTGGCGGTAATGTAATGGATGGCGGTGTGTTTAACGCTACAGCTTTAGCGGCTCAACAAGTGCCGACGTATGACGTTTCACAAAACATTGCTGGCTATTGCAGGTTGATAATTACGGATAGAAAAGGGATGACTGTATCAACACGACATGCGGAATTATTAAATGAACCGGGTGTGGATGGAATTAAATATCAAGGACTCAACTCCGCCAATTATCAAATTATTACCGCGTCCGATGATTTTATCATTCGAGGTAATCCACATGAAGTACTGGCACCTCTCTTCACTTATCACGGCTTTCGTTACATCTCGGTATACGCTAATTACATTAATATCGAGTCAGTTGTTTGCGAGGCGATACACAGTGAAACAACTCTGATCGGTAACTTTACTTCTTCATCGCTCGTACTCAATCAGATTCAACACAATATTCTGTGGTCACAATTAAGTAATATTATGTCGATTGTGACAGATTGTAGTCAGCGGCAGGAGCGACGAGGATGGCTCGGCGATGCAGCGCTGTCAGTCGATGCAGCATTATTCAACTTTGATTTGTATGGAATATACGTCAATTCTCTTCGGAATATTGCAGACGTTCAGCATGAAGACGAATCGATACCTGATACAGCACCAAATTCCGTCGGCGGATATGTAGCAGATCCATCATGGGCACATGCTTATCCAGAGATTATCTGGCGTATCTATCAACATTATAATGATACCGCCGTTGTAAAATAACACTACGCCGGAATTGAAGCATGGGTGGATTATCTGACAAGTCGTGCACAGCAAAGTGGTTTGGCAAATATGTATTTCGCTTATGGGGATTGGGAAACACCGGTTAATTATCCTGTTACAAATAGTTCATTAGTCTCAGCATTTTCATATCTCAGTGATGTGCAAACGATGATCATTCTCTCGAAAGTTCTCAACAATGAGACAAATGTTGCTAAGTACAGTAAACTGTATGACCAGTTGGCAACAGAATTCCATGCGACGTTTTACAATCCACTAGTCAATGGATATGCAGCAGGATATCAAACGGCAAATGCGCTAGCATTGAAACTGCCTGACGTTGTACCTTCAAATCTTCGTACGTCGGTCATCAAAGCACTCACAGATAACATTGTTGCTAATGACAACCATCTGACAACTGGTAGCGTCGGTACGGCCGCATTATTTCCTGTTTTGTCCGACGCCGGTTATCATGATTTGGCAATGACAGTAGCGACTCAGACAACTTATCCATCATTCGGTTTCATGTTCAATAATGGCGTACAGAATGCCACGACAAACTGGGAGACATTTCACGCTTTATTAAAAGGCGTTGGTGGTACGGACAGTCTCAATCGTCACATGTTTGATAGTATCGGTGCCTGGTTCTATCGATACTTAGCCGGAGTGCAACTAAATGGCTTTGCGGAAGACATTGCTGTTCGTCCGCGACTTACCGTGCTCTTGAGAAATATGGAAGCGGAAGTGCACACAATCAACGGACCGATTCTTGTGGCATGGCAACGACACACTGATGACAAGGCAGTTACCTACGACGTGACCATACCGAACTCACTTCACTCCATTATTACATTCGAGCCTGTACAACCAACGGCTCGCTGCATGTCGATTGTAGAAAGCGGCGTGCTAATCTGGTATTAATCATCCACACTGCTGTCGAAAATCACGAAATCGGCCTCCTTTCGAAAATCAGCTACGATTTTTCCGTGCTAAGTTTTATAAATTCAATCTTTCTATATTTTTGTTCTCCATCAAAAGCTGCATCTAACTACCCCCTTTTCAACTCTTCACCTTTCAAGCAAAACAGTAAAAAAAGCGATCTTGGCGCCAAACCCATCAGGTCATCAGCCAATATCTCAACCAAATTTCACTCAAATGAGCTAAAACTTTGGTTTTTTACGTTTCACGTGATGCTGAATCCGACGAAATTACTCTGGAAAAATTTTCGGTTTTTTAAGATCGTTTTCCAGAAAAACGGGTCTCCAGAAACTTTTTGACTGAGTGATCAGGAAAACGCTGAAAAAACACGAAAACTTCAAATAAATTTAGGCTTATGAAAGTTGTGTATAGCATAATCCGGTGCAGTAACATAAGGAAAACGCCGGAGAGGTCTCATTTTCGAAAGGCGGCCGATTTCGGTTTTTTTCGACATGTCTGCAACGTTTCGCATTTTTCTCCATGAAGACTTGCTCAAATCTCAATAAAAAGGTGACATTCGTGATCAGCGCGTTCTGGCGAATCAGAATAGGCGTGTTTAAGTCCAAAATAAAATTCACTCGAACTTTGAATTATTTGCGCCTTATATGTTTTAAGCACTCTTCACTTCTTTTTTCAACTTATTACAGAACCTAGAGGAAAAGTTGGATCGATTTACTAAACCGATATGTTTCTTCCTCTCGTTTTGCCAAATTATTTCGGAAATTATTTTTGCTGTTAGAGAAGAATTGTTTTGATTAGATCTTTGAATCGCGCATATGAGATGCGCAGATCGTGAACGCAAATACTCAGTTCAAAAATTTTAGCTCATGAGTGTACTAATCCGTCGGGATTACTGGTTGAGAAAGCTCTGCCCTGTGTCTAACTGCGTTGAGCTCAAAAGCGAATTCTCATCAAGTGAAACCAAGCTTTCAGGAAAGAAAGACTACGATCCTAATGCCTAGTTTATTCAAAGATATTGTCATTAGTTATGTCTTTAAAAAATGACGGATGATTAGCCAGAAAACTTTTACCCAATGGTTTTGGAATGCTTTTCACATTCTCTTTTTTAGTATGTCATCTTGAACATTTTCATCATTGTAGTTTTCGAAGTTTAAAATTTTTCATTTCAAAGTCTCTGTTTAAAAAATTGTGGAAAGTATTCAGTGTGCGATTTGTGAAAGCCTTCAAACGATAACTTGATATAAATGGCGAAATGCCGCAATATAATGTAGGTAAAGTTATCGACATGTTCGTGTTTTTCCATCCCATATTCGTTTGGTGATCTGTGCCAATTCGCTCTTTTGTTGTGCCAAAAAGAGTTCATCGAGCTCTCTTAGAAAACATATAATTTATGGCACTTCATTATTCTAAACGAATATGGGATCCAAAAAACGTTTTTTGTCCGCTGGTAAAAAAGCGACATCTTTGTATTTTCTTCCCATATTCGTTTCTTGCGGTGTGCCACTACTATTCTCTCTTGTGCCAAGTGTATTTTGACGAGATCTGTCTGGCACAACCATTGGTGTTGAGCTGAATTAATGTTAATGCGCTAGATGATGGCAAAAGCTCGACAATTTTTGTATTCCTTTTCCCATATTCGTTTTACCGCTAATGACCTAGTTTTAAAAGACATGGACTAGAGAGAACTCGACGAGTTGTACAAGATGCGCTACTCAGTTTCTCGAAAACATTCTTAATTAAGACTGCTGATGGCATTTCGGTTTGGAGAGTAATTAGTCTCCCATATTCGTTCCTTAGCTGTGCCATCGATGAAATCACTTGTTTTAAAAAGAGCTTGTCGAGTTGAGCAGGTTTACCGTTTAGAATAGTGAAATTTAATTTCCATTTAGTTAGTCTCATTAATGCATGAACTCTATTGACCTTCGTTACCACATAGAAAAACTGTCAGGCGTTCAAACCTTTGAGTGCCAGATGTAGTCTCTATTAGTTATGAATACGTCTTTCTATGCGGCTAACATCCTGGACATAGAAGTTGAACTGCCAGACTGTATATGTGAGTTTAGCCCTCACCCTTATAACGCCATTGTTAGGTTCGCGGGTGAACTTAAAAAAATACAGACATTTAATTTCGTATGACCCTAGACTTTACACTCAAGGGAATAAAGCTACGCGAATTACACTCATATACTACATTGATAAAAGAAGAAGGACAGATCAAAAGGTAAGAGCAACTACGGCTGTTTCTCTTTCCGTTATTTTTCAGATCATTGAGAGTATTGAAAATGCTTATCATGTGTACTTCGGTAAGCGCTAATGTTGTCTTGCTTTAATTAGATAAGGTTTAAATCAAAAATGGAATTAACACGAGCGGCATTCGAACCAATGTTAGATACAACATGTCAGTCTGTGTTAGAGTTTTTATTTGACAGGAACTCTACTCTGTATTACAGTAACAGTTCAACTAAAGAACAACAAAGTGACAGTGAATTAATAATGCCAGAACAACCAGCAAATCAGCCTTTATCGGAATTATTAGATGAAATATTGAGGGCTGCTGAATCTCGTAGAAATCCTCGCCATCCTGGCTTTATGTGCCTTATGCCTAATGGTGGTTTATTACATTCAGTGTTATCTGATATTGTTAGTCAATGCACAAACAAATATACAGGATATTACATGGGAGCACCTGAGCTAGTTAATTTAGAATGTAGAGTTATACGATGGTTATGTTCAGTTTTTGGTCTTGAAGTGTGCACGCACTCCCTTGACTGAAAGTCTGCTTCATTACTATAGCGAGTTTAGATAAGACACAAAACAAGTGTCTTCGTTCCTACTCTACACTAAGAAATTTCTCTTCAGAGTAAGTTGTACGAAAATTTTGCAACCGCTCTAAACATACATGACGGACGTACATCGAGCAACGGCACTAGGTTGCTACAGACACTTACCGTTTTTCACTCTCACTACGTGAATGTTACATATCCATGTGACTATATGTATGTACGTCCGTTTTTCTCTTGCATCCTTTTCAGAACATCTCTGCGTACTTGTGAGACTTTTAGTTTTGGCCAAATATTCAGCGTAGTCTTTCGATCGTGTTTTGAAACGTTTTATGTTTAGTTTGTTGTAATTTAACCTGTATTTATTGGTTAATTGAAATTAGGATCACAGATAGTCAGGAATCGCAAAGCATGGTATCTGACTGTCTGAGGAAATGTAACGTCGACAAATGGAACTGACGCCAAAGTAAATAACTATCACAGTTTGTTTTTCTAGTATAGGGTATTGGGGTTTATAAATGTGGATGGTGATCGCTAACCCAGAAACAAACGTGAGACGAAAATTTTACTACAGTTGAAAGACTACTACAGGCTGAATATTGGTTTAAATTGATAGTTGGATTTCCTTTCTTTAAACACAGATAAACAACGTGAATAGGCAAGCACCAATAAGTATATTGGGTCCCGATACTATTGTATACCCAATATATCGGAACCAATAATATTGATCACCTCAACGATCATAGGGTATTGGGTAGCTTGAGTTCACCCTGCTTTCGCAGTACAGATATAGGATATAGAGCATGCCCCACCCTGAATCAAAATATAACCCAATCAGGCATGCACCGATCAAGAATCGATGTTATGACATCCAGCAAAGTCGTTTCGAATCGGTTACAAAAATAGTACTTAGAGCTGCCGAATGTCTGGTTTTGTAGAAAAATGTTTGCTCTACCAAACTGAAGTGCTAGTGCTACCTGGGAGAAAATCAAAGATTATTAGTGTAACCTCCGACCGTGTCACAACTTTTGACCGTACTCCGCTATTGGACTGCTTATGATGTGCGCTATCGGACGAAAAAAATCAATTTGCAAAACAGGTCACTTTCTATATTCTTTCCATTACAGAGTCCATGAAAACAGTTTTCTCAGTCCATAGACGACAAAAAGTGGTCCGGTCTAGTTCGCAATACAAAAACAACATGGTTTTTACTTATTATTGCTCGATTCAAGTGAATCCAAAACTTTTTTTCGATTCCGGACCAGTCCATGGTCTTGCACGTTTGAATCCAGTCCACTCCGAGTCTATGAGCTCAAAATATTTTCAGCATAGTCCAGTCGATACGGAGATCTGGTGGAATCGCAACAACTTATTTAAATAAAAACAGAATTGTGCAAAAGTATTCATCTGAGCAAAGTTTCGACATTTTGCGCACATATCTTTGTATACGTACGATTCTTATTCTTGCACATGCTTTTGGCTATGGTACCTTCCTTTGATTACTTATGTTTCAAACAGTAATTTTTATTTTACTTTCTAGTTCGAAATATAAACATCGCAAATCTAGCTTTTATAGTTATTGTTTGACTCTACTTTTACGATGAACAGAAACGATGGGCCTGTTACATAAGTTAGTCAGAGTTATACCATAGATAGCAGAACCATTTTTCTGAAAGTGGACGCTTAAGAGCTCGGAGGCCATGGTTTGTCTGTGAACCACGTTAAACAATGCCGTACACAGATGCGAGTAAGGTTTAAACCTCACTACCACAGAATAAAAAAATATTCATTTTGAAAAAACATATAACCGGCAGAGATGGAACGGTTCGTGTTTTTCTGCAACTGAATCGAACAAATTTACGAAAAACTCTAACCAACCGGTCCCATCTGTAGTTTGTACTGAATCATAATAGAAGAACAATCAATCTGCTGCGCGTTTAGTACCGGTGATCGATCTCAGACGATTGTGATTGACTTGAAAATGAATAGAATTAAATGGCTCGGTTCTTTATGTTTGTTCGTTAAGTAATTTTTTCGGCATCATTGCATTTCGATCCACGCACATGTTCTTTATTTTGTTGCTCTTACATTTTTGGATTTTGTCATTTAAAATCAATTTTTATTAACAGTACCATATTCAGGCAACGAAGATTCAACCTGTTCTTGTCTAACAGGGCTTCAGAATAATTAATCTTTGCCATGTAAAAAGTGCTTAGTATAGAATGTAGCGTATTATAGCGCCGTCTTTCGCATCGCTTTTAAATGGTGGTGACATTATCGAATTTTCTCGTCTTAACTTATGTGAATTTCCTCGGTGTAATACGTCCGTGATCGTTAGTGATTTACAGTAACAATGTTCAGCTCGGTTCTGTTTGATACATAGACAATTGGACTTATCCCGTCTTATTCACAGGATTCAGTAATCCTACAGTGATGAAAAATTTTAAAAACTAATTTTGACGACAGTGACAAAATCAAGTCTGTGGGAATCTGGACATGAGGGTGCTTTCATTGCACTCAATTTATTTTGGTAATGAATAGGACTGAACTAAAACCTAATTATATAGAGTGATAGAAAACTCCATGGGCTTTCAGAATATGTAGTTACTTTTAACAAAATGTGTTGCTATAGTGGAAATATTTTCAAAATACAGAGTCTAACTATTTATTTCCGGGGGTATATATATAAAGGATGTCCCAGAAATTCTGAAGTAATGTTAAAATACATCGTTCTCGCATTAAACAAAAGCAAACTCTTTGAAACTTTGGCAAATTATTGTGCATGTTTAGTACTAAATAACAACAAAGTTTCAGATCTATAGCTTGTATTAACGATGAGAACCAATAACAGCACTATCATGTACTATTTTTCAATTTTCCTATCTTTCGCATCACGAACATTTTTTTATTTTGTTTATATCTGATCGTAGATAGACAACAAAATCTTAAATTTGTTTTTCAAAGATGCGCTGTGAAAAGCTCTACAAAAATTGTAATAACTAATTACTATTGGCTTGTGTTAATGGTTTCTTACCACACTCAAAATAAAAAATCTACACGATAGTAGTACTTCTCACCATACTGAGCGTAATAAATAAATGTTTAGAAGACCTTTTTATTTTGCATACATCTCAGCTTGAGAAAATAAAACATTTTGATTTTTTTTTCAAAAGGTGCACCGTCAAAAAATCTACAAAAATTGTATAAACAAATTCCTACTGGAAAAGAAAAGTGGTCTACCAAACATTTATTCATGAAGGACTTTTCATTTTGAATATGGTGGAAACTATTAATACAAATCAATAGGAATTGGTTATTATAACCTTTGTAGAGCTTTTCACGGTGCATGTTTGACAAAAAAATTTAAGATTTTATCGTCTGTCTATGCCCAGATATAGACAAAATAAAAAAAAATGTTGCAAACATTTTGGCACACCTCAAAGATGATCAGGAAAATTGAAGAAATAGTATATGATACTGTTGTTACTGGTTTTCATTCTTAGTACAAGCTATAAATGTGAAACTTTGTTGTTATTTAGTACTAAACCCATCTACCTTAACATCCTTAACATTTGAACCTGGAAATGCATAATATTCTGTATGTATCTGATGATAAGTATGTTCATTCATTAGTTTTAATGTAGAGATATCATTATTTGAATGAAATAATCGATGAAATTATTTTGTAATATAATTTGGTGGATAACCATTTAATAATAAGGATACATCAATATGGCAACGTTCAGTATTAAAATCATTTATATTAGAACAAATACGAATAGCACGTAAAAAAGCACCATATGGTATATTACGATGTATATGACGTGGATGAGTTGATCTATACGGTAAAGTATATGATTCAGCAGCTGGTTTATGATAAATTTTTGTTTTTAATTGGCTATTTTCATTGGTAATACAAACATCGAGGAAATCAACTGATATATCAATCTTATAATTAATTTTAATATTAACATCTCGATTTTGTGCTTCTTCCAGTTCTTCTTTAATTTCATGTATTGTTTCATTTGTTGTCATGAATATATCATCAATATATCTAGTTGAGAAAAGAAAAAAGATGAAGACACAATTACATAGAATATTCTGGTTAATTAGTTTATAACATACCTTCCATAAATTTCATTACGTTCGTCTTGATGTTTAATTAAATTTTGTTCCCATTCGAACATATAAATATTAGCTAAGACCTGTGTAAGTGCTGAACCCATAGCACCACCACGAATTTGTCGATAATATTTTTTATTGTAGACAAAAGCATTTGTATCCAAAATTAGACGAGCCATTTTCATAATATGATCAATTGTAAATGTACCAATTTTACCTTGTTTCGAATGTTGAAGACAAAATCGAGCTAATGCTTCTAATGCACCTTGTCTTGGTATCATTGTATAAAGATCAGTAACATCAGCTGTAATAAATTTTGTTGTCGATTCATAATAACCATCACTAACATATTTTTCTAATTGTCGAACCACATCAATACCATTAATAAATGTTGTTTTACGAGCAACTTGAAGAAAGATAGGTGCTAAAAGATCATTCAAAAATTTTGATACTAATGTTGCTGATGCATTTATTGATGCAATAATAGGTCGTAATGGTGTTCCAGGCTAAATAGAAAAGAAAAACAATAGGAAAGAGAACATACTAATAGAGAAAATAGATACTTACTTTATGTGGTTTAGGAAGACCATGATAATGACCTAATTCGAGCTTGTTTAAATTTGGTAACAACCTATTACGTTGTTTTTTAGTAATCACATTTTCAGTCATCAGATAATGAAGTAAAGTTTGTACAGCATGTAAATTTTCAGCTAAAGGACAACGACCATTTGTAATTTCTTCATAAGCTTAAGTTTTTAACATATATTCTTTTGCTTTTCGTTCAAAATCATCTGCTTTACCAATATAAAATACTTTACTTTTATCTGTTCGACGTATAACAATATCTGGCCGTTGACGTAGAAGACGTTGAATACTACGAACAACTTTATATTCTGAATGAGCACGCCTTAAGAAGTTTCTTGGTAATTGTTTGGAATATAAATCATGTATAATACGTTCTAATTGTAAAAATGCATGTCTTGATCTAGGATCACTAGTGAAAATATCATTATCTTGCAAACAATCTTTTACAATTTTAGACATATTTTGATATTGTTCGATAATAATATCATCTATCGGTTTACGAGAACATAATTGAGTTTGACATGGTATAATATATTTAAGAGAGCCTCCATGAGAGGACCACCCTACGTGTCCGGGAAAAAAAAATTTTTTTTCGATTTTATTATCTTTAGTGATAGGTCTAGTCAAACCATTGTTAAATCCAAAATATTAAATCATTTGGTTGTTCTTATGAAAAATGGCAGCAAAAACAAGTTTAAAGGGTCGATTTTCACCCTATAAAATTTGTAACAGGGGGGGTGTGCTCAGTATTTTAAGATTTTCTCAAGAACGGCTTGACCGTTTGAGCTCGTGAACGTCTCATTTGATAGAAAACTGTTTGGGCTACAATTCTATTCTATTTTAGTAACTAATATATTGGATAAAAAATTCTCTGTAGGTCAAAAACTGTCCAAAACTCGTGATATGGTCCTTTCTCAAAATAGCGGTATTTTAGACTTTTCTCACATGGTACACGCGATCCCAAACTGATTTTTTTACCAGACATAGATCTTGTCAAGACACATCTTTTGACATTAAATTGTGAATCAAAAAAAGCTGGGGGGCCAAGTTAGTATGAACCATACTATGGGTTACCCTTAGTGACCATTGACCCTATGCCGTACAGTAATACAATTTCTTTATAAATCACAAAAACTAACTTCAGATTCGTGCTCAGCTCGCAAAATTGGTTAGGAAAAGTTGTTTTAGATTGATTTTCTACTTGTAGCTAACGAAGTCATGATCATAGATACATCCTATGGATATATCATAGATATAGGCACCAATGTTTTGATGATAACTCAGCAATGTTAATAGCTATCCAGTTTGGGTTTTTCCTAATCGAGAGCCACTATCAATAGCTACAAAACTATATATTTTCCAAACTTAAAAGCCAGTGATAACTTGAGTCATGCTTGACCAGATTGGTCGTGGAGCAGGTTTCCTGCATTTTGTGATCACGAGTTCGAAGATCACAATTTGATCCAAAACCAATGTCAAATTCAGAATCAGCGTTCAAAACTGTATCAGAAACTGTGCGAGAAAAAGTATCAGTTATGGTTACATGCTGATGGTGCATATGGTGCTTGGTTTGCCATGGTTGATACTGCCCCCAAACGTCTAAAGTCTCTCAATCTATGTGATTCAATCAGTGCAGATTTGCACAAAT